AGGCAGTCTTTGGAGGATAACGCTGCAGTCGTAAAAAGTGCTTCACGTGTTGAACGAGTGAAGGCGCAGTCCACCATTCTTGGGCTCCTCGAGAAGATTGACGGACTGCAAATTCTGCGCGATGACGAAGTGCGGGGGTTTGCCGACCGAATTGCAGCTCTAGAAGGTGAAATCGAGGATCTTAGATCGAACCTTCACAGCATAAGCGAGGCTCAGCAGAGCGCCCTCGCTGCTTTGAAGAAGTCCAAAGACGACTTCACGCATTTGGAGAATTTGCTCACCGCAGAACAGACCACTGGTAATGGCCTTCGGCATAGTCTGACTCAAGCGCAGGAGCAAACCTCTAGGTTGAAGGCAGAAAAAACAGCCTGCGAGTCGACAATCGTCAATCTTAAGACTATTTATGATCAGGGGAAGAGGATGCAGGACAGACTGGATGTCTGGGATAGAGAGCACGGTATGTCATCTCGTGATTTGTTTGTCGTGTGAGACGCTCAGAACGAACAGTTTGCTTCTGCCCAGCTGGGTTCATTGGCACACGCATAACGATGCATTTGCCTGAATTACTGCCAATGCTGATGTGGAGTCGGCAAAGCGGTCCTCAATGTTATGGGAATGTAGGTTTTATGTGAGACTGGATTTGAACATTCATTGCGGATATACTTGTTACACGATATTTGTCTTGAAATTTATATTAGGTAGTCACAATCAAGCGTTAGCATTTCTGTCTGCTTCGGTGAATCCAAGTCGAATCATTCCTTGACCATGTCTTGAAATTTAAGCCCATCATTTGGGCATCTACTGCTGAGTCCAAGCTGTAGGACCTTTTTCGGGGAATTGCACTCTACCTCATCCTTCGAAATCACTTTCACGTAGGTGGTATCTAAATCCCTGATCGAGCAGCCTTCTGTACCCAGGGGCATCCTCAACGGCCTGTTCTGAAAGCGAGGTGTATATTGATAGTGACGGATCACAGTGGAATTGATCATTACGGAAGAGACAGTGCTCGGCCCGACATAATGTGCAGAACCAATCGTTCTTGTCCATTTGGAAATTGGACCGTCTTCTGCGCTGCGTTCCCGTAGGGACCTTCTCTGAAGGGCGTGGTTATTATCTTGTCGGTTTGTTAGGACTGCTTATTAGCTTATGGATGATAAGTACACTAGCTAAGCACACGGTGAAAGCTTGACTTTTCGTTGCCCTTCGTTGACTTTCACCACCCACCGGCAAAATCGATTGAACCGAAAAAGCGTACGCGAGCACTGGACGACCTATTGGGAATCCTTGGACGACGCAAGATAAGAATGCAAGGCAAAGATATTTATATGCTCAAAGATTGGTGCCTAGCTGTGCCTAGTTTGATTGGTGTTTATTGGATGATGTGCCGAGCCCGAATTTCGGCGCTTAGGCACTGTGACAATTTGAAAGTCCTTTGTCCTGAATCTCTTTTTCAGGTCGTGTGCTGTCCTGTGGAATCGTGCATGCTCAGTCCTATGTGAGCTCGGAATGAAATTGGTGGAAACCAGGGTCACTGTTATGAGGTGGCACCGTGGAGTCTCCCGTCAGCCTGAGCTGTCATCTCATGCACCGAAATGCACCGAAAGTTGAAACCCTGGCACAGCCTGGTAGCAGTTTCCAACGTACTTAAGCGTAGTTAGTACCAGTAATTACCGCACAAACTCAGCGGTAGTGAATGTCGGGAGCAATGACCAAACATTGCAGCAACGTATGACAATCTATGACAGTTTCTGACAGCTTAGTGCGGGGTACAACCGTTGGACCTGTATGGCAGGCCCTAGATCTTCATTCTAAGGATCGGAGATAAGAGCGAATTCCAAGCGAGGGCACCTTGCATTGGGCTGGTCCGAGGTGGTGCGGAAGTGAAGTCGGAGCAGGAAATGTGCAAACACGTTGTGCAGATAATGCAGCATGTGAGCAGGCTGGAATTAGTTTGTTGAGAAATTGCGGTTGGTTGGAAGATTGTCGAGGCTCGTGAGTTAGGTAAGGACCCCGGAATGACCCCAGCTGATCTCTGAAGCACGAAATTTTCGACGTGATTGATCGTCAGGTCATCAGTAATTTCTGTCTCTTGTGGAGATACCTTGACATATATCAAAACGAATCTTCTGTCCCGCTTATTCTGGAACGATGTCTGAACGCGGGTCCGTGCTGAAACTACACAGCACCAAGATCATTCCAGACTCTTCACTTGCTCGGAGCCTCGGAAATGCATTTGAACAAAAGAAGAGAAACAAGACAACTCACCAAACTAAAAAAAAACATGATTCATGCCAGAAAGGAGTATGCTGCGAGCCAGCAAGAACACCGCAGTGGCTGATATGAAGCAGTGGCTGCGGGGGTCCACATCACACGATAGGCGCGCACACAAAGATAATAGGAGAGCTCACACGAGGTTCTTTATTTGAGTGTGGAAGTTGAAACGCACTATGTCCACTAGTGGCCCACGGACGAGCCTGTCGACGAGCCTATTAACGTAGGGCAGTACTTATGAGTGGACTTGGCCGTTGGAGGCTAGTGGCAGGCTCACAGCCGCTGTTTTAGATAATTGACTTAGACTAGATCTGAAATGAAATTCACATGCAAACAATGCGATCCGGATGATTTAAAGACCGAAGAATGAATCCGAGTCATATCCACTTGCGTTAAGTACTTGAACCTGCTACAACAAACGCTTCAACTACTACCTGAACACTCGTCGATGCCATGTCTGCTGCTTTTCGAATCTCTCCAGCCCTATGGGACAAGATTCACCACTTTGCAAGCTTTCCTCAGACGGGTGGTATGTCATCTGATATCCTCATAACCCATTGCCCCAGATCTTTACTTTTTATAATCTACAGTCTCGCTGCAGCAAATGGTACTCTTCGGCCAACATCCAAGTCAGGGAACTCTCCTCAAGGCCAGCCAGTTCCTTGCAGGTAACTTAATCTTTGTCTAGGTTCGACTAACTCTGACATCGTGCTCAGAAGAGCTGCCCGTCCGCCTCGCACATCGTGTCAAGGAGCTCGACGAACTCCCCCATAATCTCAGTGACATGCCTTCCATACGAAAGGTCAAGAACTGGTATGCCCAGTCCTTCGAGGTCCGCTGTAGCCCATCTTCTTTTATCTCCACTTCTTCTCACCGGATCTTGTACAGGAACTCATCAACTTTCCTCCCGTTCAACTCCCACAACACCTTCGCCAGCAGCTCTGCTCAACAAGCCAGGATATCTTCTTACCTGACAGCACCCCAAACCCAAGCCTTGCCGCCCTCCAGGACCATGACCACCCTCTCTTCAACTTATCCCGTCTCAAGGGCAATGCGAACGGCATCGGTAACGTCAAGCTCAGGGTCCCATTGGAACGCAGGTCCGCACCCCCTTAACACCCTACAATCCATACATACCATGCTCACTTAGTACAAGATATTACGCAAAGTCATCATCCATCGATTGGCCACCCTCCGTTCTCGACTATAATGCTCGTTTCACCCGCATGCTCGAGGCCATCAAACGTAGGCACGACCCTACAGTCACAACAGTCGCACAGGGCGTCCTAGAATGGAAGCGCAGTCAGAATGCAAAGAACATTGGCCTCGATATACAAGCCTGGCTTGATAGATTCTATATGAGCCGTATTGGTATCCGCTTTTTGATCGGCCAACGTTGGTTTTTCTTAGCTCTTTCCTTCTCATTTTCTCATCTCCGTTGCTTTTCCTCAGACGTCGCGCTAAACACGCAACAGCCACACAAAGACTATGTAGGCATCATCTGCACTAAAGCTGTACGTTGCCGTTCTCTGTCTTTCCCCATTCACTAACACCCCTCCTTCGCCGCAGAATGTACACGATATCGTACAGGAAGCTATCGAAAATGCCCGTTTCGTCTGCGAGGAACACTACGCCATGTTCAAAGGCCCCCCTGTTCAACTCATCTGCCCTCCCAACCTCATCTTCCCTTATGTCCCAGGCCATCTCTCCCACATCTGTTTCGAACTCCTCAAAAACTCCCTCCGTGCCGTCGTCGACCGCTTCGGTCACGATGCGCAAGACGAAAAACCATACCCGCCCATCAAAGTCATCGTTGTTGAGGGCAAGGAGGATATCACCATCAAAATCACCGATGAGGGCGGAGGAATCCCGCGTAGCGCCATTCCCCTCATTTGGACATACATGTATACGACTATGACGGGACAGAGTATCGATCAAGACTTTCAAGCTAGCGATTTTCAGGCTCCGATGGCAGGATTTGGGTATGGACTACCATTGTCGAGATTGGTGAGTGACGTGTGCGTTTGTCGAGGGCTTACGCTGATATCTATTGTTGACAGTATGCAAGGTATTTTGGAGGTGATCTAAGGTTGATATCTATGGAGGGGTACGGAACGGATGTATACATCCACCTCAATAGGCTTTCGAGTAGCCGGGAGCCTCTTCCGTGATCCGCGTACACCTGGTTGATTATATTTGCAGAAGAGTTATGTACACAATATAGGGAGAGATCTACTAGTAGATCCACTCAACAAGTACTGACTGTAGTTTACTGGCTCGTTCAGGACCAGACAGACGACTGTTTACGACAAGTTTTACGACACGGCATCATTAATGCAATGTATATATTTACATTGGTGGCATAGCAGAATCAAAAATTGGAATATAAACAAACACTGCTTCATGGTGGATTTGACATGACCTGGCACTCGATATCTTGACGAGTTCGCATGTGTCGTCTGTCTCGGTCGGCTAATATGTTGCTGAGACGCCGGCAGGATCGAAAAGCAGAAAGAATAATCCAAAGGGTGGTACCACGAAGAAGACAAAAGTACAGTGATAGCACAAAGCAGGGCTTGTCGGACCGTGTACGAACGTCCACACGACTTTACACGCATGTAGCACTGATAGCGATGTGCGATGCCGGAATGAGGAGTAGAAGGGAGGACCAAGCAGGAGCTGGACTCCATGCGAGAGTCAGGATACTAACAAAATCTGAGTGGACCCGATCAGACCGTCCTCAGTGTCATCAACAATGCAGAACTGGTGTGGTTGGCCATGTGCATCCGGCCCACACATACGATCACGAGTCCCTTTTCATCGAGATTAAAAGCCAACACCTTGACTATATAGTACGTACTGCATTGTGGCCTTGAAGACATTCAGGGAGCGGGCCCGAATTGACAGGGGTTCCATAGATGAACTCGCAATTTAGAGACAGGCCGCAGACGTTAAACCCGCGATCACATTGGCAGAACTTGTGACGAGAACTTGAAAGGATCTGCCGAATAATTGAAAGAGAAATACAGGAATAGATTGCGTGACGACGTCCGCCAGAAGGGTTCTCGACATACCTTGATCTGTGTACGCTTGAAATTGTCTGACATCACTAGCCTAGTCATCTTGAAAGACAATACAGTTCCAACAATCAAATGACGTTCCACGTCGTGCCAACCACCAGGTCTGTGCACCTGTTGTAAATCTGAAATGTCCTTCGCCATGTACCTGATGTCCAGGCACGTGAGAATCACGCAGACAATAATGATAAGAGTAATAACAGAGATGCGGCTTATATGTCAAGCAGGAACATTTCATCACAGGTGATCATATCACGCACCTCATCGAAACCTCAAATACATCCAACATGTGGTTCACTCCGCCTGTCAACCTAGCAGATAAACCGCCTTCTTGTTCCAGTTCAACCGAAGTATTGTTGCAACAAGCAATAACTAGCCGTGACATTGATGGTAGGGCCAACAGATCTGGTGGGGAAATGCAAAGGGCACATGCCTGAGCATGAGTACTTAGAAACAGGAAATGAGGTCCTGAACGCTAGTTTAGCGAGCCTCGGGATTACATACTTGTGGTTCCAATCGGCTCCTGGATCCAGGAAACCTATCCTGTTCGGTTCCGATATGAGGTAAGGTTCAAGTCCCGCAGCGCCAAAGCCACCAGCCGGAAAACATCACGAGTCGGAATAGCCTGCAACTCGATAACTGGCTACTGCAGACCGATCTTCTGTAGAACTTACCTCAGTATATATCTGGAAGAAAGTCTTAAAGTGAAGCTTGAGACCAGCCAAACACGAACAAGAAGTCTTCCTCCAACCTGAGTCGACTTGCTCTGTTATGTAGAAGCGAAAATTAAAAAAAGTACCATGAGGGAAAGAACAATTACGGGGTCTGCAGCCTGCAATAAAGTTAATTCTCGCTACTGGTAGATCATTCTGAAAGTTTCATCGTTGGAATACGAGGTAGACATAAATACAGACGATCTGTTTCACGCACTTGATACATTATTGAGGATTGCTACTACCTGCCGTAATTAAGTATTCTCCAAGTTTGTAATTCATGCCAATGCCACGGCTGTGCGTTGAACTGAGTAGGAGGATCACACAGTCCTTACTGGAGAATCTTTAGATCTACGAGTCTTTCGGAGAAGCATCCAAGTGGAAAATAAATCCAACATACTAATAGAACAGTCGTATACTAGTAGGCCGCACCTCTTGCGCATCTCCTGAGCTGTCGAGGGGTAAGGAAGATATCCCCATCAAATTCACCGACGAGGGCGGGGGAATCCCGCGTAGCACCATTCCCCTCATTTGGACTTACATGTAATGTACACGACCGTGACGGGGCATAGCCTAGCAGAGCATCGATCAGGATTTTCAAGCGAGTAATTTTCAGGCTCCGATGTTTTGGGTGCATGTGCATTAGCTGCCGTTGTCGAGTTTGGTACTAAGTAGCGTGCGCGTTTGTCGGGGCCGTGCATTGATCGGCGTGTGACAGCATACGAGGTATTCAGGAGGTTTGGGGCCGGTATCTATGGAAGTGTTAGTATGGAACGGATGTGTGGACCCATCTCAACGGACTTTCGAGCAGTAGAAAGCCCTGGGGTTGATCATATTAGAGGAGCCGATGTACACCGTATAGAAGAACTTGAATATAGTTCCACTTGGTTCTGACTATAACTGACTGGCCCGTTCTCGGGACCAGAGTCCAGACCTTATGACACTGTATTATTAGTGCAATGTACACGATACCATAGCCGAACCGAAATGCAAAAAAAAGAGAAAATAACCATAGAGAAGAAAGTACTCATATACAAGGACAGCATCACACAGGGCTTGTCGGACAACGTACAGATGTTTACATGTTGCATGCGTGTATAGCGATGTTGGAGTGTGGCGATAGCGTGTGCGATGCGAGAAACAGGATTAAAAAGAGCCAAGCAGGGGGTATTGACAGTGTCCGTGTGGGAACCAAGAGAAAAAACTAACAAAATCGTGTCACCCAGGCCCGTCCTCAGAGTGCCATGTACGCTTGAGTGATGTCGAAGTGGGTATGTGAGTTGCAAGATTCATGTGTGCCAATGATGACGACAGCGCAGGGCTTGTGTGGCTACCCATGAGTGTCGACCAGTCGGCACTATCATGTGGGTGGACCAACATCGGATGTTGGTATTGCTGCTGATGGTGTTGGTGTTGTTGGTGCTGCTGTTCCTGGTGGTATTCCGGCCCACGCACCTCCAATGCATCAACTTCCTCACACAACCTCTGATTCGCAAACCGCAACTGCTGCAGCTCATACTGCCAACTACTTTCCCGCGCGGTATCTAGCTCATCGAATACATCATTAGCCTCGGCGTGAATCAGCGTATTGGAGCTGCTTGAGTTGCTGAGTACCGTGATTTGTATGACAAGCGGGTGAGCAAGTGATGGGGAGGGCGCCTGGGAGGGCGTCGAGTTTAGGATTGGGGCGGGTGGACGGTAGATCACGAGCCGCACGTGCACTGTGCTACGATCTTTACGCAGCATCGTGCATACCATTACAGACGGCTCGCCCTCCGCGTATCCACGTACCTGCGCCTCATTTCCATTGGCGCGTTGAATCGCCGCCTCCACATGGCCTCGATCCCCACCAATGACCATTGTACCCAAAGACTTGCCAATGACCTCACCAACGCTCCATCCAAGCATATCGCGCACGCTGGCGCTGGTGACGAGTACAGTCCCATTTGCGCTCACCATGCCCCATACCTCCTGTTCGCCAAGCCCGCCAGCATGGGCAACCGAGCACCACCTGAGCGAGGGCATCCATTTGCCACGGCCGGAGAGGATGATGGCTTTGCGTCCTTTGCCGGGTTCGACGTGGAGCCGGCCCCGGCATTCAATCCAAGCGTATTCAGAGGATTTGGCGCGGGCGCGAAAGAGGAGGTCGACTGTTTTGGGTTGGCTGGCTAGGGTTAGTGGGCTAGGTGGTATTGGGGAGGTGGAGTCGGCTGATGAGGTGTTGGGCGTGATTGAGGACTCTTTGAGCTCGCGCATGAGTGGGACGAGGTCTGCAGGATGGCAGTAGTCAGATATGCTCTTTCCGACGAGCTCCTCGGGTTCGTATCCCAAGACAAGGCGCACGCTCGGGGCGACATAGAGAAAGGCACCTTTGAGGCTGAGAACGACGATAAAGTCGGGGGATTTTTCAAGAAGGAGCATGTGCAGGAGCTGGTTGCCATCGTGAGTGTCAGGTTTGTCAGGGGTAGCTGTAGATGGAGGGATATTGACACTCGTGGAAAGGGGGACTGAGGAAGTGAATTTGGTGTCTGTGATCAGACTACGCAAATCTTTGCTTAGTACGCTATTGGACGGCAGTGCAAGTCGACCTCTTGATGGGGGCCCCAGCGGGGATGGCACGGGTGCACCAGCGCCCACAGTGTAGTTGACAATGTAACTCCCATCGCGCAGTTTCTGCAGAATCGCATTGGGTTGTTCTGTAAGATCGACCTGGAAGCCAACATGATAGACGACCTCGTCTGCTTCTTCTGGACGGTTCGATATGCCGCCTCTGAGGGGGATCACGGTGACGAGATTGTAGAAGGCCTGTCCGCCTTTGCGGTAGTTGATGATACTGGTTTGGCACTCCTTGTCCGCAGAGAGAGATTTTTTCAAATGCGCCGCGGCATCTGGTGCGACGAAGCGACGCTCCTCACCCTTTTGTATGTTTCCATCGGGGGACTGCAAGAAGCGACAATTGCGACCGAGAACCTCATGCTCAGCATAACCTGTGAGGCGATAGAAGGTGGGGGAAGCGTAGACGATGGGACAGTCGTGGCGACGAACATCGACGACAGTAAAGGAGCAAGAACTGTCGACGGGGCCGAGGACGATGATTGGGTGGGGACGGGAGACTACGCGAGAGAGGAGGGAGAGGAGATCGAAACCAGAGGAGGAGTAAACAGGAAGACCTAGGGGCGATGGTGGAGAGAGGCTAGTTGTAGCATTGAGTTTGAGGATGTCTGCGGCTGTGAATGAGGAATTCAAGGTAGTTTGAATTGGAGGGGGTGGGGGTGGAGGGGAATATTCGACTTGGGGATACGGTATAGAATGAGGTACATTCGAATAGGAATCATAGCAATTGCTCGATTGCGCATTGCTAGCACTAGATGCTGCCTCCATGCTCGCATGGTGCCTCGGCTGAGAAGAACGAAAACTATACGAAAAATGAGCATTAGAGGATATCACAGATATTATTTTGTACTCACGGGGCAAAGCCATTGTTTGCAAACCAGGATGAAGCGAACGAACCTGGGCTGTCAAGAAGACCAGCTGGTAGGACCTCCGCACCACCACCTGGGGCTAAAATTGGAGGTCCATTGTACATGAACTGAGGTATCTGAAACTGAAGTCCATTAGAGTAAGCATGACCGTCATCAACATTGTAACGGCCATCGTTGTAATCGCCGTAGTGATTAGAGTACTGCTGACTCCGCTGCGGCTCGTCATGTGCTAAATATCGCTCAAAGGGCATGGTGGGCGGTCTTGGACAAGATCATCCAAGAGGAGCAGAACTTAAAAGTCGAATTTGGGGGTTGGTACTTAGAAGAAGCGTTGAAGCATCCGCCTTTGGAGCTGTGTGCTTGTACTTCACGTTAGCCTAACGTTATAAAGCCGGCTGGCCGCCGTCAACGGTCTGCTTTTTACCTACTGCAAACATTAAGTTTACCTCACCAACGCTTCGTGTAATCCACGTTTAACTCCACTCATTTCATATTACAAATCGCATAATCAATGAACCAGCGCCTGTTCCTACAATGCAGTACAACATCAAACACCTTCCGGTCTGTGTCACATAACAAAATCCTAGCATGCAGGCTGTTAATCTTTGCCCTCGTTCCCCTAACCATCACCCACATTGGATGATGTAGTGAATAAAAGGGCAAGTGTCACACTGTCTGTCTGAAGGTCAAGTACTCTGTCAATAAATCGTGCCATGTTCTTGGTGTGAGAGTGAATGTTATCGCCTCATATCTAAGCTTTGAGCTGTGCCAATTCTGCTACAACGAGCACCAGCTCTATCCCTGAACATCGTATGCGTCAACTTAAAATATCCCAGATAACGCGTAAAATGATACCCACTGCAAAACTCTTTTCTCCTCCTTGGGTTTCAAATAGTCCTCACGGTCCATATTTGTAAAGCCCCGCTTCTTCGACACAATAATATTTTGCCGGGCTAGGAACTTGTACCACGCATGGCGGAGAGCCTCCTGGGTGACCGCAGCGTTCGATTCCTTGCAACGGATGGAGAGGATGCTCTGCCCGATGTTTACTCGCGCGAGCGCATACCAGTCTGAAGCCTGGATGGAAAACATAAAACATATAGCACGAATTCACACCCAAGTCGAGAATCAATCAGTACTCGCGCAACTCACTATCTTGTTGATGCGGATGGTGTGAAATGGGTGGACTCGGACATGCAGGTGGAACGAGACAACTTAGTGACACACTTGTTGCCGCAGATGCGACCTGCTTCAAGCGCCTTAGAGCTCAGCTGCTTGTACTCATCGGAGACGAGATGGCGACAGAAAAGTAACTCGTCCAGATACACGCTTCTAGCCGAGGTCGAAAATTCTGATCTATGGAGATGGTGAGAACGTCAGCGACGAGGTGTGGATGAACAGGTTTGTTCTTACAGTAGCGGTAGCAGTGGGCGAGACGACGACCCATTGTAATAATCTGCGGCAGGATTGCAGTCAGCACCCGAGTACATGGTCTTGCAGAGTCACATCTGAGACAATAGGATTACATCCACCCCGACTAATCGCAATCCAACACTCTTTCGATGTCAAATCACCCCCAGCATCTAAGCGCCATCCGGCAACTGAAAAAACGACACTCACATGTCACATAGAAGTGAGGTGCAATGGGTACCCGGCAGACGAGCACTTAGTAAATGCTGTTTTTACAGGGAAATCGGATAGCCAAGAGATGACAAATCTGACTCGGCGAGCGCCGGAGGACCTCAGCTCATAGTAAGTACTGCTCGCTCCACTTAAGTGAAGCTTAGATCACAGATTGCAGTGTGCCCTGCCAATATCAAGTTATACGCATGATCTGGAGAAGAAAGGGTCCGAACCACTACGACATCGAGATCATCTTTTGTCATAACTGCGATACAAATAATGTTACAAACGATAAATGAAAAGGTAAACGATATCAGTACTTATTTCATGGTGATCAAGAGGAATTGATGGAGTGTCGTCTTTAATAGAACTGTACTCGAGTCTCGAATTTCGTGATTGAATCTTGAATCGCTTTCTGTTTCTCTCCCTCACACATCTCGTGGTATTGTGTCGATCCCTGCCACCCTGCCCATGCCGTCTTATTCAACACACCCCACCATTCGTCTTTGAACGGGTGTCCTGGTGCACCTGCATAACCCCAAGGTTTGGACGTGTACGGCTGCACGAACGGATTGAGTACCGCTACAAGATCAGGATGAACTGGTCCTGTGAAATGCACGACTCCGGGATCCTTCATGTCTCCCAATGCCAGGGTATCTCTGTCAGCCGAGCCAATCTCCGCGTAGGTTCCGAGTCCCTGGGCATTCCAGCTTAAGTTTACTTCGGCCCAATCGTCAGCAAAGTGCACATTCAGCACGTCCTGGTCGTGATAGCGAGCGTCTTTCATCTCGCGCACCCGAGCCTCAAGCTCAGACAGATACGTTCTTGCCCTGGCTAGGTCAATTAGGAGCATGCCTGAGTTGAAGTACTGCCTCCGTGAGACGCCATCATGACCCATTGGGAATCCAACATCCATCGCTGCACCAATCGAGGAGCCCTCCAAATCAGTGTTCCACAACTCCTCTAGGCTCCTGCGCACCAGCATGTCCGCATCCAGGTATAAAGCCCGCTCCACTGGCAAGATCTTTATCATATCAACTTTCGCCCAGGCTACGCCTAGTTCCGCAGTTAGACTTCCAGTTGGAAGGTCTAGGAATACTAGGGTAACATCATATCGCTTGGGAAGCGACGACTTGATCTTTTCTTTGTCTTCGACACAAATTCCACAGTCCACGATATAGATTGTCAAACGTCCCGCAGTCTTTTCGATGGCGCTGCGAATTGTAACAGCTGCTCCCATCGCATACGAGGTGTCGATGGCGAGGACCAAATAGATCCCTAAGCCCAGCGCGCTTGCGAAGCGCTGCTCAGCGCTCTGGTCTACGAGGAATCCAATTCGCATCTCACTGGTCTTCCTCAAAATCATCTGGTACTGCTCTGCAGTTTTAGACAGATGCTCATACTCTCCTGCATGAAGCGCAAGGAATGCATCGATTCCGCGGCGGGGATGGTGCACACTTTCGACGGGCTGCTCGGGCCAGCTATAGTCGTCGAAAATGAATATGCATCCCTTGCGCGCAAGGCGCCATGCAAGTTCTGCATCCAGGAGTGTATCATCTGCGCGATGCGATCCGTCCACATACACCCAGTCAAATCCAGCGCTCGTATCCCGCACTATCTCCTCTTCCAGGAGCGCATATAGCGCGGGGACGCTAAACTGCGGGAGTATGCGAAATGGGCGACCCGTCTGTAGAAGATTCCGCGAGAGCTTGCTGTGGCGCTCGCGTCCCGCGGGAGTACGCATAAGGTCGAAATGGTCGATGCAGACCATCTCACCGCCTTGAGCGCAAAGCGTAGTGAGCAGAAACACTGCGGAGCGCCCTTCCCAAGACCCGATCTCTAGGATACGTGGTTCAGGCGAAGTTACGAGTGGGAAGAGGCTTTTCCAGGATGGAATATTATGGGTAAACCAGTCTTGTGTTGGCGTAAACTCGTATTCATTTGTAGATCCCGACAGATCAGTAACTGTGGAAACAGACATGTTTGGCTGTAGTCGATAGTCAATGTGGGCATCTCAATATGTACGCGAGGAGTGGAGCTGACCTATAGGCACAGAAGGTGTTATGGCCTAGTCTTGGTACTGTCCTTGATGCCTTTCAAGATTTGTGATTTATACCTGTATGCGTAACAGGAGTCCATCAGACCGTTGCATTGGTTGTTTTTTTCAATTAATCTCTTACTTTTGGTAAGATCCCGTTACCTTTAGTTGGAGGGTCTTTGTGGTCAATTCTGATTCGAATCTTAGGGAGATGGTGGTGCTTATCAGGTTCAATGGAATTTCTATCAGCACCAAAAATTGCTGTACCACACACTAGTATAAACAGGTATAAATTCACAGTCTGATTAGACACACTTACCATATTCGAAGGCCGTCGATCCCACTAATATATAAACCACAGGAAGTCCTCTTTATATCCCAACTCTCTTCGCAGTCTTTTGTCCACCATATCAATAGACGCGCTCGCTCGCATTGTGTGTTGATCATCCTGTGATACATTTTCGACAGAAAAGTGCATACAACCTTCTCTAAGTCGGTTGAAGCAGCTCAGACTGGGTTATACACCTTTCTTCAAGCTCGTGAGTATGTTTCCGAACCATAGCATACAACGACGGACTCACATTCCAGTCAAAGAAAAAATGGCAACTACCGGTGGCCCGCATCGGTTTCTCGTTACTGGCGGGAATGGCTTCATTGTACGGGCCTTTTATTACTTACATGGAACAATATTCAATTCAATGTCCACTAGGGGTCATATATAGCAAAGGCATTATTTTATAAAGGCCACTATGTTCGCATCGCAGATATCAAGCGGACCTCATATTTCAACGAGCGCATCTCGAATGAGGTTCTCGTTGGAAACCTCTGCGATCTGTCATTTTGTGAAAGCGCTGTTCGGAGCATGGACACGATCATGCATTTTGCCGCGACAATGGGTGGCATGGGTGCAATCCACGAAGCAAATGATTTCGTGATTTACAATGACAATTCAACAATGACATTCAACCTCGTACATGCCGCTGTACACCGGGGTGTTCAGCGTTTCTTCTATGCATCCTCTGCCTGTATTTATCCGACATCATTACAGCACCATGGAACGAACCCCGTATCCCTCCGCGAGCATGACGTATGGTCTTCTGGGGCCCCAAATCCACAAGGCCTCTACGGTCTCGAAAAGCTGAACTCCGAGCTGCTTTTGATGCAGTTTGTCGAGAAAATGCAGATACGCATTGCTCGATTTCATAACATTTTTGGCCCATACGGCTCATGGGTTGGCGGGCATGAAAAGGCGCCTGCTGCGCAGCTCAGAAAGGCGCTCGCTGCACACATGATTCCCAGCACACGGCATGAAATTGAGATCTGGGGAGATGGGAAGCAACAGCGAAGTTTCCTCTATATTGACAATTGTGTCGAAGCGATTCTCCTTCTCCTTGAATCCGACTGCAGCGAACCAATTAACATTGGATCTGACTGCTCGGTGACTATCGACGACCTCACGAAGATTGCCGTGCAATCTGCAGGCATGGACGTAGGAGATTTCCATTTCAGATACATGGATGATTCCCGTCCTGTCGGCGTCCATGCCCGCAATTCAAACAATGAGTTCATCACGAAGACATTGAACTGGACTCCAAAGATAACCTCGAGGCCGGTATGATGAAGACCGCGTACTGGATCAGAAGGGAAATGACGAAGATGCTCGACGGCAACGACATGGCTGCCCGGACAGAGCTGCTGAGCAGTTTCAAAACGAACAAGGTCGTATACTTGAATCGGCCTACCATTACATTCGCCATCTTGCTTCCCATCACAGTCCCGTGGTCTTGAGGGACCCGAGAAGAGCCTCGAAAACCTTCGGAGCTTTGCGAAGTCCCTTGCGCGCACTACATGGCGTGACACCCACGAACTTGGACTCGTCCACTTTCAGGTGAAGATATACTTGGGAGTTGACGCCGACGATGAGTTTCTCCTTCGCCGCGAGGGAAACAGCGAAATCTTAAACATTGAATCACTCTTATCAGAGGAGGGAATCACGAATGTTTCTACAGAGATATGCAACGTGCCTCGCGGTCATGTCTGCGCCATTTGGCGCCAGTGTGCACATCGGGCTTGGAAGGAAAAAGCGGACTATTTTGTTCTAATGTCGTTCTCCTCGACGAAGGCTGGATGAGAGACATTCACGAACAGTTCACGCTAATTGTACAGCACGGACATGTCTCTCAAGGTATGGGATGCGTCGCCTTCACAAATGTGACTTTTCCCGGAATGCCCACGTTCCCCATTGTCCACCGCACTCATATGAACGCCTTTGGCAGCAAAGTCATACCCAAGGTTTTTATTAATCAAGATAGGGACCCGTTCCTCTTCCAGCTGTACCGCAAATGTGGCTGCTGTCGAATGATACCATCAAGCCTCTCCAACGGCATTGGTGGAAGCCTATCTGCACGCTACATTCAGCAACATGCGGATGGATGGACGTTCGGTCTGTTGACCGAGGCAGCAATGCTAGTGTTAGAAGCATCATTGACGACATCTTTCCCGGCCGCTACTCGTAAAATGACCTTGGACATTATCATTCCAAGCTATCGGGTCCTGCTCCCTTTCCTCGATGCCATCCTTGCCCTCAAGGAGTCTCCGACTTGTGAAACTATGTTCATCATCATCATCGACAACCCGCACTCCCCGAACACCACTGAGCTAGAGGCAAAGTACGCCCATCGCCCAGACATCCGTATCCGTGTCAATGAAAGTAACCTTGGCGCCTCAGCGTCACGAAACAGAGGCATGAAGGAATCTGCAGCGGATTGGATTCTATTTCTTGACGATGATATCACACCTCAAGATGACATTTTGATCGAGGCTGAGAAAGCCATTCGCTCGAATCCACAGGCTGCTGGTTTCATTGGAAACACCTATTTCCCGGTTGCCAGCACTATCTTCACCAATGCTGTCCATCTTGCTGGCGTGACTTACTTCTGGGATATCGCTGCGAAAATGCCACAGAACGAGAGTGACATGCCCTGGGGTGTCACAGCCAATCTCATTGCTCGCCGTGTTCAGGACGGCGTGGAATTTGACTTGCAGTTCCCGAAAACAGGCGGAGGAGAAGACATCGATTTCTGTCGGAAGAAACGTGACTTCTCTGTTGCTCACGGGGGCGAAGGATTCTATCCTGCTCCTCATGTCGTCGCAACTCACCCTTGGTGGAGTGATGGCCAAAGATCATACTGGCGTTTTTACATGTGGTCCAAAGGCGATGGGGGGCTCATAAAGCTTTACCCAAATCTGACGTATCTAGATCACACTCCCAACAGCGCAGAGCTGTTCCTGATTAGCACAGCATCGACAATCCTAGGTGCATTCACATACCTCTTCACAAGGAGCTCTGTCGTGTTCATTGTTTCAATGAGCCTCGCAATGGCGACGGTCATTGCAAACATAGTGCATGATATGTACCGCCATTTGTGGAGAGATACGAATCGCACAAAAGCTCTCAGGTCTTCACTGAGAGGACTAGGATGGGCTGTCGCAATTGCCGAAAGTGCGCTGATCAGGATGGCGAGCGAGGGTGGGAGGTTGATCGGCCTACTTGAGCGTGGAGAAATTATGCTCATTGGGCACAGGTTTGACTGGTTCACGGGGAGGGCAGGAGACGGTCCGATGAACGAGGAAATATTGAATGGACAACAGAGAATGGCACTAGTGGTTCTCATCTTTGGTGTGTTGTGTTTCAAGTTTTGTTACTAGCGTGTCGATGCGGCCATCAGTTCGGTTTCATGCTTGATTTCTATTCATCCCCCCCCTGAGTCCGTGCGTTTGTCACGATTGTTTGTGTACGATATGTATCATCCCGGAGCATCCTTTTCTCGAATCCGCACAGTGGTTGGTGTACGATATGTGACATTCTAGGAGTAGCCTGTTTCTGAGTCCATGTGTCTGCTATGATTGTTGATGTACCATATGTATTTATCTCCCGATTCTGCGTTTCTTCAAGCCCATACAACCTTTGGCTATATGTGTGTACCACTCTAAGAGTAGCCCACTGTAAGAAAAGTCGTGTTAGGCCTAAGACTTTCTCCTCGAAACATGGCCTTTCCTAGCCAGACCCATAGAAGAACGAAGACGGCCATTGGCTGAGCTAATGAAGCGAACGAGTGCAATAGGCAAGCAGAAACCGATCTGCTTCCATTCGTTATGAAAGACGCGCGTGAATGAAAAAAGAGGGGGGGAGGGTGTCGACAGGCGCCCAAAAATTTCACGCGACTGCAGCAACAATTGAGCATCAATTCATAATGGGAAAAGGTGGGAAGCAGCACCCACCATATGACAAGTTCAACCTAGTTGGGTGTAGACGGAAAGCAGAAATTGAATGCCTCAGTTCGGGTAGTACTCTGCGCAAGGGATGATGTAGGGGACCGGGAACCGAATCAACTACGTCACGCCACCCCGCCGTCCTGGTCAACGGTACTACCGGGAGGAAGGACGAAAATGTCATCACCAGTTGCATTTTCAGCAGCCCTGCACCATAGCTAACGATGGTGGGCGAGATGATGGTACTTTGGGCGGACCTGTCCCCCAGCGGAGTCTTCATCCAGTCTGCGTAGACTTCACGCAGACCGGCCAAAGGAGTGCCGTACTTCCTGAATGAACGACTGTAATCTTCCGTTTCATGCAACTAGACCCGGGGTATGATCCGGCAGGGGTATGGACTTCACCAGCCTGCGTCGAAAAACAGGGCATCTTGGAGAGAAAGAACGACTGCTATCTTCCGTCTCATGTTACCAGATCTTAGGCTTGGATACCCATGGACTGGTGGCATTAGACTGGAGATTGGGAGCATCTCACCGGCCTGCATTTCATCGAAGAACAATTCATACAGTGGAAAGGTGAAGAACAACAAAGGTGGCTCTGGGTAGCTCAAATTGCTTCCCAACTTCGGTTAGATAATCTGTACAAAATATGCTGCTATAAATCTCCGACACAGCGCAAGTTGTATCTATACAAAACATGAAAGAGAGCATTGCCAAGGTAAACCGTAATACATATGCAAATGCGATAGAGCGATGAGTGCCAAAGACTAAAAACAATACAAAAAACTAGGTGCAATCCGTTGAGCGAACCCATTAGATCCGGGTACTTACAATGAGCTCCTGACGGCGTCAGTAGCGGGTGATATGACAGCGACCAATACCGAGATATCTGTAAAGACTCTTGAGAACGGTGCAAGTCCTCAAGGCAATAAACGCACCATCTATTTTGCCGCCTCTGAATGGTTTCCCTGATTCCCTTGCACGACATGCAAACGGCACCTCATCCTCCATATCAAACACGCCGTCCTCGATTCCTCGGCCCCTTCTCTCGCTCACGCGACGCGCACGTGAACAGAGCGCTTCACTCAGCATACCTGCTAGCGTTCGACGGCCCAAAAGACCCTCACCACCCTCCTTGTCACTCTTAAGGAAAGAGCGCTTGAACCGTACTACTTCGTCCAGTACCTCGTAATCCCACAAGTTATCAGAAAGCCCATCGGAAGCGAGAATGAGGATATCGTCTGACTGGACTGGGAGGCTGAGGATTTGAGCATCTCGAGGGCGTGCCGAGGATGCTGGACCGAGTTGCACGGGTGTGTTGAAGGCTCTCCACATCTCTTCGCTGCGCCAAGCGATATTCTCGTCGCGCACCAGCATGCCCATACAGTCTCCAAGATGGGCGATCTTGAGCACTGCGTCGTGAGTTTCTTTGCGCGAGGCTGTATCTGGAGGGTTCTGTAAGATGAATGGGCGGGGTAGGGAGGTGGCCGGGGGAGGTGTGCTGGAAGAGTGTTGGAGGACTGCGACGAGCGCTGTTGAAGAGCCTGTCATGAGGGGAATCATCTTTGGAAGGGAAGGTTCTGGTGCGTGTGGGGTGGACTGTGGGGAATCTGCGGAGGTGGTGAGGGGTGCTTCCTCAGGTATGGATGCGAGTCCTGGAGACAAGGGCACCCTTGTAGGCGGATTGAGAGGCTCTGGAATGACGTGAGCCTTGAGGGTGTTCTCGTATGCACGTTCGAGGATCATTAGGACATCCAGTCCGTCTTCAAGATCCTCCAAAGAGTCTTCGAGCTCTTCATGAAGCTCGTCTATTTCGGCCTTCCACGGCCATACGGCACTGTGGACCGCCGATCCCGGATGTCGGTGTGGTGATTTGGACCGAATGGGAGATACATCCCGGCGACAGAATGATGAGGCCTCAGCTTGGAGGGCCTCTGCCGAACAATGGTGCATTAATCGGCGAGCGAATAATGCACTAGGTGATGGATCTGTGGAGACATGATTTGATGAACTAGCGTCTGGGATATAAGGTTGAGAATATGAAAAGTCCGATGAGAATCTTCAAACATACCAGGTGTCTTGGCTCTTGACCAACCACCGACACCATCTGCGACGCCCATAGCATTCTCCTGTATAAAGTAGGCATCTTCGCCGACTTGGACGGCGAAACTGAGATCCTCTTTCTGAGGGTGGGCGTCAATCTTTCGCCAATTATTGCTATTGCCGCCGCCTAAGGCTATGCTCCTCCCTGAGACTTGGGCTTTGGTCTTCTTCGGTATACCATATGCACCAACATCGAGATGGTAGCGAACCTTTTGCTTCTTTTCCCGTGGATGGGAGTCAGTGTGGGAGTCTGCGACGGCGATATTATAAAAGGGTATTGGTGCGAACGGGGAATAGGGAAAGAAAGAGGAAGACTGGTGTGAAGGAGGGGTGTGGGGAGGAGAGTTTGGATTTGCTTGTGGTGATGTTAGCGCCAAAGAGAATGGTGGCTGTCCCTGTGATTGATGTGCAGAACCCTCGCCCTCTGCCTTGGCAGGGAGGCGGGATGTGGAGAGGATGTGGGGTTTGCTAGGCTGTGGCTGAGGTGGAGGTGGAGAGTCGAAAAAAGCAAGTGGACTGGAGGAACTAGTAGGTGCATTGTAAAGAGAACGAGCAGAAGGTGCTGAACCAGATCGTCTACGGGAAATTGGGGATGTGGAAGGTGCCGATGAGGATATGGAGCGGGGAATGACAGTGTAAAAGCGCTTTTGAAAGGTCTTCATGGTTGGACCTGGTGCGCTCATGTTGAGCAGACCGTCGTGCTCGATGAGCAGAGACTATTATTGATTGTACTTAATACAGTCCGCAAGTACTGATGGATGGAAGAAGATGAGAACAGCAAGTGCGGGGTTAGGTGGCACCGGAAGAACACGGGTGGTCGGGTCACAAGACAAACTCACACGATCTCATTGGTCACGTACTCGAGTTGTACTATGCATGAAAGCGAGAGATTTAAGACTTTGGATTCGCATCATAACATGGTAGTCACTTAGCAGGCAGTCACAGTTGAGATGATTGGAAGTATGCATGAAATAGAAACAATCGAACACCTTTCTGCGCTGGAAGACTGCAGACCACTCAAAAGCCGCCGTCTTTCGAACTAGGAAAGGAGATGAGTCCCGAGCCAGAAGGCCTGAAATACATATCATCCATGGATTCAGAGCTTGCGACTTGCGAACCCAGTTTGGACCAGCGTTTGCAGCTGATCAATTTTGTTGATGCCAACGATGATGACTCGTGATGACCCAGATAGACGCCGCACGAGTGGAGTGCCATACGTAGCCATCGTGTATCTGCAACCAGTTCCGCCCGCAGGGGGTCTGTAGCTAGGATATTGCGAAACTCCCGGACGCTGTGATAGACCTGGCTATGGTGGCGAAACGAGGAAGGTCGATGGATCTTTTGATCTATGCAAGTGATGGGGTTTGATAAATAGGCTCTGCCTAGAAATTCTGAGAGTATATCCTTTCTGGAACTCCTTCAAGTGGAAAGAGGAATGATATGCACTTCAAGGAGGCTGCGATCTCTATGAACGGATATATTTACGGGAGTACTAGTAAGAATGCATCGGTATCACTTGGACATCCCTGCCCAGACAAGGGCTTGGCAAGAAGTGTGACATTGAAAGAGGGTCTAAGGGAAGCGACGACAGGCAACATGGCACATGCGGACATCATCTGCTACTCAAGTTCGTTCGTCTCGATGAATGTCGTCTAATAACCTGTGGATGATCCGGGTCCCTTGTCAACATTCATGCGCCCTGCACCCTTGACAGAGCGCTTCACCATTCACACAGATCAAAGAACGTGTCGGGCCAAGCAGTGCATTTGGGATAAATAAAAGGTGAAACTGATTTGAGTGTTTTGTTATGTATATGCAGTGTTCGGGCCTTGCTGCGAGTAAGCCATAAATAGGATGGACTGCGGCTAATTTTGTTTATGAGCGGCTAACGGTGAAATCAAGGGTAGGGCACGTAAATATCATCCAGAATGTCAGAACAACCACCTCCAGTTCCACCTCTACCTATAGACTACAGTGCACCTCGACCACCACCACCACCTCCTATACCACCACTTCCAATAGAATATCTCAGAGAACAATCCAAATCACCTTTACCTGCTCCTCGTCCACATCGAGTTGATCTAGATCTACCATATAACGTGAGTGTTCAACGTATGTAACAGACACCCAACTCATTACATACTAGATGGCCAGATCCTTGGACAATGCTGTTTATCCTCCTCATCAACGCAACCCAAACCCAGGTTTTGTCCCACCACCCCCCTGGAATCTACCTCCCGTTTCTCTCCCAGCTTCACCTCGTCCACATCACTCTCCTTCAATGCCACCACTTCAACCTCACCACCCGCGACACTCTCCTCCTGCACGTGCTCAAAGTCAGAGCGCCGTTCCCAGTCTTACAGCCCCTATTCCAACCGTACAATCTCTCTCCATTGCACTTCCCACAATACAACAGCCCGCTCATGATCCCGCACTCAAACTCGCTTGGGCCCGTGACGTTCTTGTCCTCGTAGATCGTACTCAACATCCTACCGCAACTGACATCCCAGCGGGTCCAGTCACAATTACTGATCCACAACTACAACGTCTCGTCGCAACCGCAGTCCCTCTCATACAGCATCTCGCAAACTTAAATCAACAACCACTTCCTTTGTTCGCAGCTGAAGCAATATACCTCCGTGCTACCCTAGAATCAAGCGGTGCTTACCCCGATCGCATCCCACACAATCCCCGTCAGGCATTCCGCGATTTCGAAGCTGCTGCACGTGCAGGTTACGCCGCTGCATGGTTCCGTCTCGGTCGCGATTACGAAAACTTTAACGATGCAATTCATGCCAAAGACTGTTTCGAACGAGGCGCAAAGTTGGGCGTCGAAAGCTGTGTTTATGTATGTCTCTCAAATTCTTTTTCTGTCATTTATCTCATCGGCATCTAGCGCATGGGCATGGCCAATCTACTGGGTCAACTAGGTCTCCCCCCAAACCCGGCTGCTGCCCTCCCCTTTTTGCAGCGTGCAGCTACACTCGCCAGTACTACTACCCCTCAACCCGCTTATGTCTATGCCCTCCTCCTCCTCGGCGAATTCTCCGCTGCTTCGCTGCCTGCTTCTCTCCTACCTCAACCACACATCGCTCAATCAGAGGCCCGTCGCCATCTCGAGCGTGCAGCCTACCTTGGTTTCGCACCCGCACAATACAAGCTCGGCCACGCTTATGAATTTGCCAGTCCGCCTTTCCCCTTTGATGCATTACTCAGCGTCCAGTATTACTCTCTCGCTAGTCAGCAGGCCGAGGTCGAGGCAGACATGGCCCTCAGCAAGTGGTTCTTGTGCGGTGCAGAAGGCGCATTCGACAAGGATGAAAGTCTTGCTTTCACCTTTGCCGAAAAAGCTGCCAGGCGCGGGTTACCGAGCGCTGAATTTGCCATGGGGTATTATAAAGAGGTCGGTGTGGGCGGTGAAAAGGATATCCAGGAATCGATGAAGTGGTACTCCCTCGTATGTCTTCTTTTCATTTTTAGACATTCTCGCTCATGAGTCCGCAGGCTGCTGAACATGGAAACACAGATGCTGTTGAACGTATCGCAGCGCTTAACCAGGTCGTCCCTCAAGCCCTTTCACGACAAGAGCACGACACCATCACCGAAGCCCAGCTCGTCCGCAAGCGTACTCAAGCACGGGAGCGATCAAGTGGACAGCCACGCATGAGCGCGGAAGATGGAAGACAAGTCATGGAAATGGCGAGAAAGAGCTCGATCGTGCGACAACAATCACCACCGCAGGCGGCGCCCCCGCACATGATCTCGCTTGTTGAGAAGTCATCGCCTTCTGCTGTACCCCAGCAACTACCTCCACAACAACAGCAACAGCAATCGCAAAGGCAGTTCGCGGGTCAACATCGGTACACCCTTGTAGACCCTGGATCAGGAGGTGCGCCGCCGTCGCGTCAACAGTCGCCGTTACAGCAGCCACAGCCACAGCCACAACCACAGCCTGCGTATGCAAGAGCGGCTGGGAGACCGCCTGGCCAGAGGCAAGGATCAGGGCCACCTCAGGGGCAGTCACCACAGGCTCAGGCTCAGCTCACACAGGGCGATAGAATCCCTACTCCTCAAGGGACTACACGTCCCCCAGGTCCAAAACCCCCCACCACATTTGCAGAGATGGGAATTCAAGGTGCAAAATTGGAGGAGAAGGAATGTGTGATTATGTAGGTGCTCCGTGCATACCCCTTTTCGAACTCTTTTTTTTGGAGATGATATTTCAGTTTGAGCTTTTTACGTAGGATCACATGCACGTAATGGCTAGATGTCATGTTTTCGTTTATACATAGTGTAATGCTATCATGGGCTTTATTATAACCATTTGGCTGTGTGGCCTCGGTGATGAAAACTTCCATCAACTTGCTGCTGCGTACTTACGTCCTTCTGAATGATGGCCGTCTAGATTACGCGGACTGTAGGCGCGGACATGACGATCGAATAACCAAGCTAGGTAGCGTTCCAGCGTTCCAGCGTTCCAGCGTTCCAACAACTTTTCAAGGGAAATGGGCTCCGTAATAGCATGGAATGGGAACGAGACTCAACGTTGAAGAGATGATCCATAGAACGGAATCCCGTAAAAACCTTGACATTTCCAGCACGAGTTGTGCTCACGTATACCTATCTCCCATGCTAATCAATAATCTGCCGACGGTAAAAAAAAGTTAGTGTATGGTTATCAGTAATGTATGCAAAAGAGCAAGGGGAAGCGCGAGAGTGGTTTGATTGTTTGGTATACCAATGCAAGGATCGTGTGTAATGTGAAAGTGCAAAATCAAAACATGTCGACTTGAAAGCAAAATCACGGTGGTATCAAAAAAAAAACCACAAAAGGAAAAAGAAAAACCAACTGTCCCATTTCATCAGAGATCAGCACCGACAGCGTCTACGACGTATAGGACTTGCTGTGGTCGGACAAACAGTCCCCTGGACTCGGATGTCGACAGGTCGGATGCTGCGGGCGAGGAGCTTCGCATCCGCTTTGTGCGGTCCATTCCTACGGTCAACTGGTCTCCTTCTCGTTTTAGTCCGCGATTATCCCTCCCTGATCCGTTCATCCAGTCCATCTTCCGCCGTCTCTGCGTCTGATAATCGTCTGCGCCAAACTCCCACTCTGACCCATTACTCCCGATGTCGAAATAACGGATGCCACCCCAGGACCCATCGTTCCACTGACGGCCGTCTGAGGGGTCACCAACCCAGGCCTCCAGTGGTACTTCGATGCCGACCCAGGGTCCGAGCTCACCCTCAACTTCACCGATGTACCGTGCAAATGCCTTAAAACGCTTGCGCTTCGACGACACTATGCATGGAATGCCGACATCGAGCGTCGCACCGCGAAGCTGAACTAGGACGTTCGCCTCCTCCGGGGAGGCAGATGATTGTTCGGGAGTCCGTATGCTTGTGGTAATCGTATCTGATGACCCGCGGCGGGTGAGTGAGGGAGGTGAGTCTGCTGCAGGAGAGGCCCCATCTTGCGTCGGAGAGTTGGTATCATCATCATTGAGGCTGGTCGTCTCGCGGTCCTTGCCCTTGTCGAGATCGCTAAGCGTAATACGAGGCGATCTTTGAGAACGGTTCTCAATGACCCTGCTGAGCGGCTTCCTTTGTGAGGGGGTGGTGGTTTTGGCGGGCGTACGCTTGGAGGGGGTCAGCTTGGTAAATTCAGATGTTCCCCGGCGAACGGATGTTCGTGTGGCGACGGTAGTGGTCGTTGTCGAAGTGGATGCAGTAGATGACAATCTTTCTCTCACAGGAGTGCTTCTATTCGTCCCCACCGTCCTCGCGCTCCCATTTGATACAGTGGATCCTCCAGACCCCTTCCTTGAGCGAGGCGTGAGCATTTCAGAGTGAGCAGTCCTGAACGTAGCATCGCTTATCGCACTCGACAAGTCCGAATTCGGGCGGGGAGCAGATGGAATACGGAGTGTGGACTCTCTTGCGGAGGAACGGACGGTAGAAACACGTGAACGCACCGAGGGTGCAATGGATTTTGGCTTTGGAGAAGGTGAACAAGAAGTGATGATTTTACTTAGCGCGGGTTTAGTCAGGTTTGGCGTAGGACTGACGTTGCCTGCGCGAGGCAAGGGTGTCTTGCGTTGCAAAACCTTCTCTGTCGTACTTGATCGTACGGATGTGATGCTCTGCGAGTCAGGCGTGAGCTTGGAGTCAGGGCGTACATCGTTGGGCTTGGGAGTCGTAGCGTTGCGTGGAGACGAACGCCCAATGGTGCGCACGCTTGCCGCGGATGATGTCATTGTAGCCTCACGGGCATGTTTGTGAGGGCTGTTGATATTACGGCTGAGCACAGACGCGCGCAGCGAATGCACACTAAGTGTATCAGAGTCTGCATCTCCAGTTGCAGATGACTTGCGGAAGGCAGTACGCCGGAGGTGCGAGGGCTGAGCGGGTGATATGAGGTCTTCAACAGAGACTTCCAGTTCTGATAAAGAAACGGACCAGTTTTAGGCATCAAAGAAGAAGACGAGCACATAAAACGTACCCTGAGAGATCTCTTTAATGGCCCAGCCCTCGAGGCCATCGAAACCACCTTGCTGACGCGTGCCCATCCAACGTTTTCGGATGTACCGAATGAGATCTGCACGAGCGTCTTCAACTTGCACGCGAATGTGCGAGGTGGCAGAGAGCATGGCAGCGTCTTCATCCGTCGGGTGTGGTCGTAGGAGGATATTCACAAGGCTCTAATCAAATATTAGCATGGTGCATAATTGACCTCACTTCAATCCTCACCTGATACACTGTTCCAGCGTGTTTCTCAACCATTCCGCGTTTAATCGCTTCCATCACCCAGGCAACCCTCTCGCCATCATCAAACCTCTCGCCATCTGCCTCCATGATCTGTAGCCAATCATCCTGTTCGAAACACTCGGCGCTCTGACTCACAAGACATTCATCTATCGCTTTCCGCGCCTGTAGCACCATCTCCCGCGATATATCTGCCCAGGCATCAATGACAGAGTCAAGCTTCTTTATCGCATGCTGCGCGGCGAATAATAGGGGAAATACGTTCATCGGCGTCGTCCGCTTTGCTAGACCCTTCAGCAGATTTTCTCGAATCTTCTGCGGAAGCGATGCGAATTCAGAGATGCACCAGCCTTCCCCGAACAGGCCTACGAGTGCCCGTCGCGCGCCCCGTTCCAAGTAACTGTTCTTGACATCATCTGCAAGCGCAAATTCGAGTACACGTGGCGCTCGCCGGGCGCACTGTCTGCACCGACATCCGCCAGTACCCCACTTGGACCCCGTGATGCGTTCGTACTCGTTGAATTCGAGAGATGCATGAAATAGCCCATGAATCATTTCGTATACGATCCGGGCCTGTATTTCAGCGACCAACCCGTCCAAAGATAGGTAGGTCGCCGACTTAAGGATCGCGAACGCGGTGTCCAGGTCGTACGTCCGGTGGGAGAACACGAGTGTTCCCGTGTAGATGTACCCCAAAGTAAAATGGAGTGAGGCGGGGGTAAAAGGAGGCGAGGGGAGCGTGACTGTAATTGGTTCCCCAGACTTTGCCGGCTGTGCCCAATTCAAGAGCTGCGCATGGAAGTAGGGAGAGCGGGACACGAGAATGAAGCGGTGGGAAGAAAAAATAGCGGTTGCTGGCTCGTGATTTGTCGAGGAAAAGGTGCCAGATAGGGCGATGCGCACGTCAGAATAGAGACGAGATCGCCACATAAACACGAGGTCTTTGCGCAGCTTGTCAACGCGGTTCTCCTCAGCATCAACAAGCTCGCGCGACTCTGAGGTATCAAAGAGAAATTCAAATGCCTCGCCAAGTCCCTCGCCTGTGTACAGATACTCCAACTCATTGGAAAACAGGGTTGTGCTGCTAATAGCTGGTATGCGCATGACGGCGTTGAGGTTGGTAGAGGGTGAAGGGGATGACGAACGGTACGGAGATGGAGAACGAGATGTCTGGGCGTAGTCCAGGGTGAGACTCAAGGACATGGCAGACTGTGCTGGCGCTGGAGAGGGAGTGGTGGAGTATGGAGTCGGGGAAGCGATGGGAGGGGGGCGGAATTGAAAGTAGCGTTGCTGGAAGGAAGGCGGGGCGCGTGCATATACGATAGCTGAATTCTATTAGCAAAGACGTGGTGAGCGAACTCTAAGTATGACTACCTTTGTGGCCCCAAACTTCATCGTGATCATTGTCATTATCGTCGGAGTGGAGTTCCCAAACAACATCTGCAAATCGATCCTTTGCCTGGTGAAAGAGGTTAGTGAGATCATTACGCCAGGCTTGCGTTGACTGTCTTGTTGCTTCCTGGACAGTATATGATGGCGTAGAACTAACACCAACCATCGCCATCGCCAGCAACGATGAACACGACGAGCAATCGAATGGAGACGGTGCGGAGGACGGTCACAAAAGTTGCAAGCACCAGAAACACGTGTTGTAATAGGGTTAAGGTTATTGCAGGTAAGGTACTTAGAGCCGAAGAAAATAAAAATATTAATTCCAGGGTTAAGCCACTAGTCGTAAGTACGAGGGACATGATTAATCACCCCAAACCAACTTCAAAATTAAAACAACTCCTCCTCTTCGGGTTTCCAGTTCTTCGCCTGATCCCAATACCCCGCCAACCTCTGTCCCAACACCTCCTTAGCCATCGCATCCGTGGGACACCCCCTGGGTTTAAACGTATTAAACGCCCGATCTCTAAGTTGACCCTCCCACACGAGATAACACGCATTGTTTTCGAGGGAGACAATTTCTTCGGGCTCTACAGATTTCCCAGGACCTCCAGCACCAGCGACATCATTGAAAGTGGTACCATTGGGTTCCGTGCCTTCACTTGCGTTGTCGAGGACCACATCCTCCCCACCGCGCGGACGCGCAGCCTCAGTCCAAGCAATACGATGAAGCATCAACCGCTTATAATTCTGAATGAACTTGGAAGCGCCTTCGACATATACCATGCTAAAGGCGGGATTAAAAATGCACACGCCCGTTAAGTTGAGTTGTTCTGCGTTTTTGCGGACTTTGAAGCGGTGAGAGGGGTCTGTAAGCGTTTTGACCCTGTTGCACAAGAAAAGTGAACAAAAGTAAAGTCAGCTTGGATAGTACCGATGAGCGAGGGGCACGCACTTGAAAACAGCCCCAACAATGCCCTTCTTCTCCTGCTCAGTTTTCTTATTCTCGATCTTCTCTCTGCGTTGTTCATCTGTGAGTTTACGTTCCGCATTTGTTTTTTCGTGCGTGTGTTTTCTCATGGCAACTTCTCTGCGCACGCGAGCTTCGACGCGCGTGGGGTCTTGAACTGCGTCTGATGTCAAAACTTTCATGAGGTTCGACAGGCGGACTGTGTGACATGAATCGTCAGCAAGGTCGAAAAAGTTTAAAGCAGTTGAAACGTGCCTTTCGGTGGGTCAGGCGGGATGAGACCCATGCGAATACGATCACGTTTATCTTGACGTTCGGCTTGACGGCGCTGCTTTCGCATCTTCTTTGTCTCCTGTTGTGCCATGTCAGATTGTACACACCCAAACAAGATATGTGCGCGCCTTTTTGGTCAACATAAGCGGTTTCAAGCCGATTTTGTTTTCTTCCATTGGAGCTGGGATGGGAATAGGGTGCTGGACGTACAGCGTGACTGGCGAATCCTGAGTTCGGATGTTAAGATGCGAAAATCCGAGGTAAAGGTCATCGTAGGTCTTGTTTGGCAGTAGAGCTGCGTCCCACCATTCCACTGTTGGGGGAGGTTCACGCTAGGAGCCGTAGTTAGGGACGAAATCAACGATTGAGTATAAACGTACTTTGATGTTCTTCTCCAGAGTCTCGAACTCTGAATCAAGACCAGCTTTCCGTGCGCTCTCGGCAATACGTTGCTTAAGCGCCTCGAGCTGTGCTTCCTGACGCATTTGTTCGGCGAGCTGTTGATACTTGCCCTGGGGATTGAACCGGAAGGTGCGACCATGACGCTCCTTTGGGGCGCCCTCAAAACCACTGTCTTTGGCTGCGGTCGAACTGGAAGCGTAAGGGTTGGCTTTGACTTCGACGATAGGAACTGGACTTGGCGCTGGGGGAGGGGTTGGAACATTTCGAATATTTGCCTTCGAACGGCGTCAGTTTCAATGACATGTGTGGGAGTCATGTGTACCTTGATTGAAGCGAACTTGGGCTGCATTGGTTTGTATCGATCCTTCTTCGACTGTGGTGCAGTAGGAGCGGTATCAAGGAGAAGGGGATGAGCGGTCATCTTCAAGCCAGCGCCTTGCTGTGCTGGTTCGACAGGCTTGTTCCTCTTGCCCATTTGAGGCACCGACTAGACGTATGGTTTGGAAGCAAGTATCATTAAAAAGTAAGGAGACTGACCATGTACGGGTTGTCCTTGACGGCAAGCTTTGTCTGTGCCTCTGCCACACGGCGCTTGGCCTCTGCGACCTTGCGAGCGAGGTCTTCGGTGTTCTGAAGCGGCGTGGCTGGAGCTGGTGAGGGGTTCTCTGTCTTGACTGGTAGAGCCTTTGCGAGACCTGATATCCCGCCTTTCATGGCTGCAACCTTTGCCGCAATCTCTGCTCGCTTCTGCGCGATGAGAGCATCTCCGGATAGCTGTTGATTGATAAATGAGTGATTGAACGAGCTTGAGAAAGATATGCACTGACGACTGCTGGGGTGTTGCTCCCATTAGAGTGAGTCTGTAAGGAATAAAGGGTTATAGAGACATGTGAGAACGATGTAGTAGGTGAATTCACCTTGAAGAAAAGAAAGTTAGACTCACAAAATCACTAGAAATGAGACATGAGCTGGTTAAACAAGGGCGCTAGTAGGATTGACTGACCTTTTTTGTTTTTTCGTTAATGGAGACTCCCCATTGCCGTCGAATGCTCGCTTGCTCATCGTTTGTGGTGGCAAGCAGAAGCAGCGCGCTCAGTTCAATATCACTTGACACAATTTAACCCCTCTAAGGGGGGTTATGTCAAGAATTAGAATTCGTGTGCAGGATTTTGTGTCTGGTACAGCGGGCTAGAGATATTTAAGACGGGTTTTAACGTTGTCCAGAATGCAAAGAACATTTTTGAAATTTAAACTGACATAAATATGGGTACATTACTTCAAACTTTGTCAGTGTTTTGTGCATAATCCAAAATATTACAGCTGTTTGCAAAAAGGTTGACAGTAGCAACATTTTGAGAAATAACACGCGCATATACTTGCAAACGCTTGACGCAATGTATGCCTCCCGTTTCGCGCCAGAGCTTGAGGATCCGCCAGAACGCGCATTCTGAATCTCCGACGCAAGCAAGAATGTCTTCGAGTGCAAGGTGTTGATGCTTGTGAAGATTAATTGCGGCTAGTCGTGACTGATTTTCCGATACATGATGGTCAATTTGTGATGTATGTATGTGGCTATTAATCTATTATTTGTTTGTTTTGTTCTTTTCTCAAAATGTCGCTACTGTCAACCTTTTTGCAAACAGCTGTAAGCTTTGGCAGTGACCATACTTCACCGAGAATAAGAGATATACTATTGGTTACCACTCGCTCGTGCAGTCCCACATTTCGTGCATCCTCCAAAACCACACTTTTCCTACTACAAATCTTCAAACTACTATGTTCATTTGAAATAATAATACACAAGAACATCTTACAAGCTTAGACAGATGCATTCGGACAAGAAACAAGAGAGATAAATGTTTGCTTGTGACAAAGGCTTTTATCACTTCCATTGTTACCACCTGGGTTGCCCAATAAGTCAGCCTTACTATACTGGGTGATCATGCACCTCACCCAGTATAATAAGGCTTAGTTACCTAAATACCCAACACCAGCATTAAACCTTGCCCTAAATATTGTCCAAGTACTTCAAGGCATTACCGTACATTAGTAATTGCTGTTATTTTATTTTCTCACCCTAAAGCAGTAATTGCAGAGCACTACCACCCCAAACATAACCTAATTTGGAAGTTCTGCAATATCAATGTTTCCTACCCACCCCAAGCCTCACCCTGCTCTTCCCTGTGTATTAGGCTTGTATCTACCATGTAGTTTAGCTATTATACACCTCATAGAACACACTGGGCCACTCTATTTACTACCAGTCACATCAATTTGTGACAAAAGTACAGTAAAATAATAAAACATTGAAAAATGCGAACATATGATAGCCAGAGACATACCAAGCCTCAGAGACTATGTGTATAACATTTCTGCAATATACATGAGTATATAAAACCGCTATTTCAGGTGTTTTACATGTTTTACAACAATCTCTCAGAAAAACAATTGTGTCCGCTTTTTTCTTGTTTTTATATGACTTAACACATAGTATAATGTCCCCTTTGCTCATATATCCTGTCTATACACTATATATTGTATTTCAATGCAGTATTTCAGCTGCAGAACACCAGATATTGATGTAATGGGAATAGGGGGTGATATGAGGAGAACTGTGTTCTGGGAGGTAAATATGACATGTATTGAAGATCTGATACTTGGATAGCATATAATACAATGATATAATGCTAGAACTACAAGCTCAAGCCACCGGTCCTTGATCTAAGTGCTGTGGAAGCAAAGTACATGATGGAGATGCATGGGAAAGAATGTGAAACATATGGTTGAAACATAAAAACATATCATAGCACTCTACACAAGGCCTTCTGTGGTGTAATACATGTGTGGTGTGATATAGTGACATCATAATTACTATTAAACATATCATTAAAGTATTGCAGGTCCAGCTTGGAGATACATGTAGTGTTTTCACATTTGATGCCTATGGGCCAAGTGTTCATACAACAGTGTACACCTAATTTCGAGTTTTTGGTGTCTAGGCCTATACATTACCTTACAACACTTTAATACTACATTTAATAGTAATTATGACATTCCTATATCACACCACACATGTATTACACCACAGAAGTGTTGGAAATAAAGCAAGTGCACCTGCAGTTGAGGCATGTCACTATCTGCTATTGTCTTCATTCATTATGCCCAGCAGCTTGTATATTTCCTATTGTACGCTCTTGTTATCTGATTTTCTTCTCTTGTTATAGTCTCACTGTTAAGAACCATGCTCAAAGGAGAGAGAGACTGACTCAGAGGGGCTTGGCCTCAGCTCGTACACTGTGCCCCTTACCTGAGTATGTGCCCTTCATTTCAGAGGAAGTCCGATGATGGTCCGACAAAGTCCAGAGGAGCGCGGGAAACATCCGGAGGAGCGTGGGAGAGTTCCGGAGGAATGCAGGAAGTGCTCAGGAGAGTTCCCACTGCACAGTAATACTTCTACAGGAAATCAGGATGGAAGGATAGGAGGTCCAGAGGACAAGATGTCCGGAGGTATGGAGGGTGGAATG